CCTCGCTTAGGCGCACGCAGACAGCTCCCTCTCCATCATGAGCGTTGCAGCGACGGAGGTAGGGGCGTGCAGCTCCTTCAACACCGTCCCACGGCCTTCGGACCACACTCAACCTCCGGCAGCAGGTGCATGACGTGGTGACGCTGGTTCAGCTCCAAACTCTGCGACATCAAGTAGTAGCCAGCCGAGGCGCGCTCGTCCCAATCTTCCTGAATGGCAGGGTCACTCGGTCTAGGCTCCTCCCCAATCATTCGTTTCAGCAATCCGATCTGACGGAAATAAAGTTGCATTTTCCAGGCCCAATCATCATAGCCCTCACCATTGAACTTCTCGACGGCGAAGTTTTTCACCACCTCCTTGATCAGCGAGCCCTGGCTTGTTCGCGCTCCCCTTGGTGCAGAAACACCAGAATCATGGCTGCCGCTACGATCTTGGGCTGAAGATTCACCAGCTACCGCGAGGTGTTCCCCGCCATAGCTATCTATATCGAGGATCACTATAACGCAGCCCTGATACCAGCTTGTTGGTGTAAGGGCCTAATAAACTCAAGCTATTAAGACTTTATCACACTTCAAACCTCTACTCGAGGTCACCTCCAAGGGTCCTTGGGTGCCTGGTACAAGACCAGCCCCTATCCTCGGGTCCGAGTTTGTAGAGAGAGGGATCAAGAGGGACTTAGTCAAAACAGCAAGAGTACCTTGAACGTCGCGCAGCGTATCGTGCAGACCGTAGATCGGATTAAGCTGAGAATTCCTATATCGAAGCTCACTCTAAGAGCTTTAAAATAAGCCAAGTTGCCTCGCGAAAAGTTCTGCCATTACGAAGTTATGGCTCGGACAGCGTTAGTCTAGCGTTGGAGTGCTAGCGTACTAGCGTTGACTCGGGTAGCGTTCCGCCGTCGCACCGCGTAGAAAAGAAATTCCAGCAAGGAAGGAATTCGCTCGAATCAATTTCACTATATTCAGGTACAAACAGAGAAGGAATATATAGTTCTAGCTAGCATGGACCTTGGGAATAAACCTGGGAAGAACTAGAGATGATCCCAAATAATTCCAAGCAACAGAAACAACCTGGCTGGACAAAAACAGCAGGTAGTAGGTTGGTAAACAACCTCTGGTTATGTTTTTCCAACCTGGGAAAACAACAACCAGGTTCAGGTCCTAAAAACAGAACCTGTTTTGTCTTTGCCCAACCAGCCAAATGCTGGTTCCGCTGGTTTCCCTTGGCCCTGTAGCATGCAGATACAGACAAACAACATCCAACCTTCACCTAAATTGTACCCCTATAGTGCCTGCCCTGCTACACTATAGTCAACCAAACAAAACAGTACAATTTCGAGTTGGATAGAACTGAATCTGCGCAATCAAGTAAGTTGAACCGCAAAGCTTCCACCTTGGGTTCCTTTGCGAGCTCGTCCTTTCTGCTTGTACTGTTGATAGCCGCGTACAATCTTATGCCAAAGCGCACATTGTGCGAGTACCTGCAAATTCTTCAAGCGAAAATTGCGAAAGCAAACAAACACACAAACATACCATTCACACGCAAATGCATTCGCACACGCATACTCGTACAACAGACGGCAGGATGTCGTGCAATGTGAATTTGCACCTAACACACTCCCCCTCAGCCTGCCGGCTGCATCCCCATTATTCCATACTAGTTCATGCTCATTCCACTCATGCGCACACAACGCCAATGAGGCTCATCCGCAAGCCTCTTGGTGAGAAAGTCTGCTGGCTGCTGGTGAGTCTTGATGTAGATCGGATTCACCGTCCCCCTCTTCACCTCCTTACGCAGCCAGTGCCACTTGATACGCATGTGCTTATTGAGCCCATGAAGCACAGCGTTCGTGGCCATCCCAAGAGCTCCCTTGCTATCACAAAACAGCGGCGTAGCAACCTTTTGCTCCTGGCCACTTGGATGTCGTAGTCAAGGCGGCGGGTGGCGGCAAAGTCAGTGACAGTGGCAGTAAGAGCTGAGACGGGCGACAGAGAGGCACGAGGGTCCGTGGCTAGAGAGGCGAGAACACGAGTGACAACTGGACCGGTGGCACGATAGTAGTCAGTGATAAGGGTAGAGGTGGGAGGCTGTAAGAGACGACTCAGGAGGTGACGGGAGAACAGACTGAGGCAGAGAACGATGAGGACTCAAACTAAGTAAGACAGTGCAGAGATTGTCAAGGGGAGATGAGGGACATGCATGGGCGGGACAACAAACTGTCCAGTCGTGCGGGACAACAAGAGGAGACGTCTATGACCGAGGATGAGAGAAAACAGCCGGAGACGAGTCCGGAGGAGGAAAACGTAGAACCGTAAACAAGAGGAAACAGTGAACTGTCTAGAGGAGGGGAAGGAAGATCAAGGGCCCGAAAGCCAGTCACAGGTGGAGGCAAACGACTGAAAGGGCAGCGACTACTGCGGCTGCTGCCGCTGCTGCTACTACTCTTGCTCCTGTCGCTGCAGCTCCTGTTGCTGCCGCTCCAGCCCCAGCCTCTCCTGCTCCAACCACTCCCGCTCCTTGCGCTCTAGCTGACGAAGCCTCTGAAAACTCGTCGGGTAGCGGTGGGGAGGTGGGGTAGGCGCCGCAGTAGCAGTGCCTCCAACTCTAGTCTCCTTGGAACAAGCACCTCCAGCTCCAGCACCCCCACAACTAGTGTCCACAGCACGAGCACCCCCAGAAATAGCACCTCCAGTGTCAGTACCCTCAGCTCCAGCACCCTCAAAACTAGCACCTCCAGGGCCAACGCCCCCAGCTCCAGCACCCTCAGAACTGGCACCGCCAGTGCTTGTGCCCCCAACACCAACACCCCCGGAGTCGACTGTGCCAAAGGCAGTCGCGGTGACTGTGAAGACAACTTTGGGGAAGGAGACGGCAGCTGACGTGCTACCGAGGGGAGAGGGGTGACGTGCGACACACTAGACGGGGCAGGACCAGGGGGGGGGGCGGGTGTATTGGAGAAGCGGGAGCAGGAGGAGGAGAAGAGGCGAGGAAAAGGGGAGGGGGGGGAACCGGGAGACCTTGACAGGGGTGCCGGATGTAGTAGGGACACAGACTCGTTAAACCGGACATCGCGAGAGTCAAAGAACCGGTGGAGGGGCGGGTGGTAAAAGGTGTAGTCAGAAGAGTCCACTGGGAAACCAAGGAAGACACACAGGAGGGTATGAGCCGAGACCTTGTCCGCAGAGGTGTTGCGGACAAGCGCAAGGCAGCCCCAGACACGAAACTCCGACGCAACACCAGGGGACCCGGTCCAAAGACTGGTCGGTGAAGCCTCTGGCCGGGAGACACGAGACCAGAGGTTTAGCTGGTGGGCGGCATAGCGAACCGCGTAGGGCCACAGAAAATGGGGCGCACTGGCATGGATCATAGAGGTGCGGGCAATCTCCATGACCAAGCCTATGCGGCGCTCAGCAACCCCATTCTGCTGTGGGGACTCTAGAAGCGTCCAGGACTGAGTGATGCCCTGCTCGCGACAGAATCCGGCAAGAATGCCGGAGCGAAACTCGCCCCCACAGTCGGAGTGAAGACAACTGACATGACGGCCACTGTCATGCTTTTATCATAGAGTAGAAAGAACTAAGATACAAAGCAGGACTATAGAAAGTAGGCCAAAGATGCTGTAGCGAAGGAAGGGGGAAAGGGAATATCAGCGCGGGAGATGGAACTGAGATGGGCGAAAGCACCGTTAACCACTGCTAGCAATTACTTATGCAGTAGGGCAAGTAGGGGATCCTTGGTTGCGAGTTTGTTTTCACACTTAGCTACAATTATGGCTGGCGAAACCCCTAGCACCAAGAACGAGTGGAGCCAATCCTAGCAAGCAATGATCTGTGCTTTGGGAGAGAAGTGAGCCTGCCAAGCTCATCCCCACCCATAGTTGCCTCCTCTGTAGGCAGAGGAGTTTTGAAATGCAGGATGCAGGTGGCAAGGTAAGGCAGATACCCAGAGAGCTAAAAGCACTCATGCAATGAAGAGAGAGGGGACAAGAGAGAGACTATGGGGCAGAACTAGGAGCAAGCGAGAGCCGGGCAGCCAGAAGACAGGGCAAGTCAAGAAGAGGCAAGGTAGAGAGAGAATTTGGACACCACGAGTGCCCTCAATGGCTAGCAACCACCGGATCAGCGTAGAAGTCAAGTCAGACTTCTTTGCTAGAGGGAACACGGTGCTGTACCGGGAGTAGTCGTCAACGACCACCAAAAAGAAGCTCTCCCTCTTGGGCCCAGGGCGGGGGGCAGGGCCCCAGACGTCCAAGTGGAGAGTCCAGAACGGTGAGGTGGCCAAACGAAGGGAGGAGGAGTGAGGAGTGGCGCGCAGCCGACCCTTGACACAAGGAGTGCACGGCGGCGCAAGCGAGGGAGGGAGCGACCGAAAGACACGCGGGAGACTTGAGGCATGACGCTGGCTAGCCATGCTGCGGAGGCGTGGGAGGGACGGGTGACCAAGACGGTGGTGCCATAGGGCTGTGGAGTGGGCTAGCGACCGACACGAGCATGACGCGGCAACCTGACCAGAAGCAGCTACCTGGCCGGTCGCAGCTACCTGTGGAGGGCTGGTGTGCAGTGTGAAAAGGCTGGATCCCTGCTCCTGACGAAACTCGACGTGGCCGTCCTGAAGGTATCCAACAACCACCAAGTTCCGAGAGAACGAGGGGATGTGGAGTCCAGACAGGACACCAGAGGGGACAACCCGGCACGGGAGAGTAGTGGTGCTGCGGGCAACTGCTGGTCCTGAAGTAGGGTCAGCCAGTGCAACTGAAACCGGAGCAGAAAGCGGAGTGAGAGACGTGTGGTCACGGAAGAACACTGAGACGCACCAGAGTCCAACGTGAAAGAGAGCGACGCCTCAGCCGTAGAAGCACCTAGGCTAGAAACTACACAAGCACCTAGACTAGAAGCACAAGCACCTACACTAGCAGCAGGCAAGGCTCCTAGACTATGAACACGCGAACAAACAGATGCAGTAGCACTATAGTCAACATCAGCATACATCGCAGAATCAGATCACAAAGCATCAAGCAGCTCTACTGCTGTCATCTGAAACAACGATGGACCACGGGAATAAACCAATGGGGCCCAGTCCGGAGCAGGGCCAAAGCCGTACTCAGCACGGAGACGGTCCGTGAGCTGAGCGAAGCACTGACCCAGAGGGTGAAGACGACCACAGGGCTGACCCTGATGAGAGCCCGTCCGAACCACGTACGGGCAGGGAGGAGGAGTAGCACCACGCAGCGCCCAACTGGGCAGACCAATGCCACGTCCAGAGCTCCCTGACCCACCAGGTCCCTGCTGTTGCTGTCCTTGCTGTGGCTGCTGCTGCTGGGACTGTTGCCGCTGCTGTGCCGTGTACCAAGCAACTGGCCAAACACCCCCTGTCGTGGTACCCGCAAGCCCAGTACCCCTTGCATTGCCGCCTCCACTAGACGCACTAGCACCGCCGCCACCACCTGCACCACCAGCGACGCCACCACCTCCACCACCACCTGGACCAGCATTGCCGCCACCACCTCCACCACCACCACTACCACCCTTCCCCCCTCTTCTACCTCCCTTGCCTTGTTTCTGCCAACTAGCAACGGAAACGGCTGCAGTCTACTCATAACCAAACAACGTAGTAGTGGCAAGAGAAGTGGTGAACGTGGGAAGCTGGGGTGCAGCGCAACCGTCAAAGAGACGCGGAGGCGCTACGGCAGTGGCAGCAGCAATAGCGTGGAGGTTGCTCTCAATCTTAGTGAGGGTAGACTCAAGAAGATCGATGGTGAGCTCAGTCGGGTGCTTCAGGAGAAGCACGTCGCGGGTAGAGGAGAGGCGGTCAGGGAGGCGAGTAACTAACCAGTAGAGGGTGAGCCATAAAGGCGGTGGGGCAAGTTTGAGCTGTTCCTCAGTGCAGGCAGCACGAAAGCTAGTGTCAAGAGAGCGGAGGTGGGTTACAAGGTTGGATACCGTCTCGAACGAGCCCAGGTCACGAAAAACAAAGGGCATAAAGAGGCTGCTGAGGGAGGCAGAGGAAGGGGTGCGATAGCGAGTAAGACTAGCGTCGTACAAGTCATTTGTCAAGTCGCACTGTGAGAATTGGACTGCCTCAGTTGGCAGAAGAAGGTCGATGAGGGCGTTGCAAGCAGCAGCATCGCGACACTCCCAGACGTCATGCGCTAAGAACAGCCTATCATACTCAACCTGCTGATCAGCAGTGGGTAGAGGCATAGTAGGCAGGGAACTAGGGCGGGGAGGGGTCTGGAGTGTGCCACTCGCGTGAGCAAAGAGGTTGGCACCATCCTGACGTAGGCTCCTAAGGTGGCGTTGGGCATGGGTAAGCCACGAGTTGAACTTGATCGGACGTCCTCTCAGCGTCGAAATGTAGGACTCGAGAGGATGAACGGAACGAATGGAACTAAGACACGCCATGGTGGCTATATGAGAGGTACTAGGCAGGGAGTGGTAGGCCGTGCGAGACACGAGCACTAATCGTCGAGAGGAGAGTCGACTGCGGCTGCCAGCCGCCGCTAGGAACGCCTATGGTACAAGGTTGGTGGTAGATAGTATATACGAGTGGGTTGGAGTACGGTCTAGCGTGGTCAGGTGCGGTCAAGTGCGGTGGAGAGCGGTCAAACACAGTAGGGAAAAGACTAGTGCGGTAGGGAGTGGGGTGGACTGTGAAGGTACGAGCAGTCGCTACTGCTGCTGCACGCGCGGCTCCTAGTGCGCGGGTAGCTGCGTGCGTAACTATTGCTGCTGCGGGCACAGCTCTTATTGCGTATGCAGTTGTGCGTGCGCGTACAACAGCTGCGCGCGTCTGCTTACGCGCGGTGGTGTGCGCTGGCGGCAGGGCAGGGCGCAGCATGGGACGGGGCCGGGCGTTGGCAGAGCGGACAGGGCGCGCGGCGGCTGCTGCTGTGCGTGCGCGTGGGGCCGTACGTGCGTGCGAGGCTGCTGCGGAGCCCGCGCATTGGGCTCTGCCGCACGTGGGTGCTGCTGTGCGCATGCGCGCGGGTCATACAGGAAGGGCAGAGCGAGGAGCGTGGGGTAGTGCGAGAAGCGTAAGGCAGCGCGGAAGTAGGCGATTTAAGGCGTCACGGAGCTGAACGAGGCGTCACGGGGCGATACGAGGCTAGGACCTAGGAGCGACCTAGCTGATAGCATCTCAGATTCTAAAAAGTGAAGGAAGTAAGTTAGGTAGGAGGATGATGTTACTAGGAAGTGAGAAGAAGTGAACGAGAATAAATGAACTATGAACGAGTCGCACTATGAGAATTGGACTGCCTCAGTTGGCGAAAGAAGGTCGATGAGGGCATTGCAAGCAGCAGCATCGCGACACTCCCAAACGTCACGCGCTAAGAACAGCCTATCATACTCAGCCTGCTGATCAGCAGTCGGTAGAGGCATAGTAGGCAGGGAACTAGGGCGAGGAGGGGTCTGGAGTGAGCCACTCGCATGAGCAAAGAGGTTGGCGCCATCCTGACGTAGGCTCCTAAGGTGGCGAGTAAGCCATGAGTTGAACTTGATCGGACAACCTCTCAGCGTCGAAATGTAGGACTCGAGAGGATGAACGGAACGAACGGAACTAAGACACGCCATGGTGGCTATATGAGAGGTACTAGGCAGGGAGTGGTAGGCCGTGCGAGACACGCGCACTAAACGTCGAGAGGAGAGTAGAGTATTTGGTGTCGCAGAGTTTGTAGCTTAACCAGCGTCACCACGTCATGCACCCGCTTCCGAAGGTTAAGTGCGGTCCGAAGGCGTGGACGTATTAAAGGAGCTGCACATCCCAACCTCCGTTGTTGCAACGTTGATGCTGGAGAGGGAGCTGTCCGCGTTGCGCCTGAGCGAGGGAGAGCCAGTGCAACCTGTCTAAGACAAGATGCGCGACCTAAACGCAAAGTTGGCGACCGCGGGAATCACCTACCCGGAGCAGTCCAAGTGTTTGAAGATGCTCTCGCTGCTTCCGGAATCGTGGCTTCAATTCACGAGCGGATTGAGCCTGCCGCAAAACCAGAGCTCGTGGACACTCGAGTGGGTGCGGACAAAGATTCTGGAGGAGGACTTCCGTTGCCGCCAACTGAGGGGTGGAGACGACGGCAGCAGCGGCTACGGGATGCAAGGGAGCCGACGTGGCTTCGGTGGTGCTGGACGCAGTGCAAAGAAGGACGACGACTCCAACGACCAACAAGGAGGTACCGGCTGGAGTCGCGGTGCGAGATCTGGACGTGGCGGCAAGTCAAGTACTGGTGGCAAAATGAAAGGGAGTTGCTGGTATTGTGAGAAGGAGGGGCACCCCTTGCATGCTCTGGACTATTGGGTGTTGGACAAGGGCGCTGCTTGGACGATGACGCCGCGCAAGGACCTGCTGGACCACGTACGCGCTGCACCGATCAACGAGGTGTGTTCCGCCTCTGGACACGCGCTGAAGGTGGCTGGTGCGGGACGAGCTGCGTTTAAGGGAGCGGATGGCAAGCCGGTGGTGCTGCACGACGTTCTCCTCATTCCTGAACTGAAGGCCAACCTCATCTCCCTCCGTGTGAGCTTGGCAAGGCTGGGGTGAGCACTAGCACGGATGGGGGACGCACTTACAAGGGGCAGCTGGGCAATCGGGTGCTTTGGGATCTGCACGAGAGCACGGACGTGTACAGATCCATGTGGCAGCTGCCGCTGTTGGCGTGGCATGGTGGGGGGCAGGCTTGAGAGGGTTCTGCATCCCAGGGGGAGTGCAACGCCGTTGGAGGGGTTGGTGTGAAAGTGTCGGCCAGATCTGGGGAGACGGATTGGGCAACGGCACACCGACGCTTGGGGCATGTGGCAATGCCCTTCTTGAAGCAGTTGGAGAAAGATGGAGCCGATAAGGGTCTGCCACCTGATGAGAATTGTGAAATCTGTTTGCTCTCAAAGTTTACCCGTTTCCCCTTCCATAGTGTGACTGGCAGGAGCAAGAAGCCTTTAGAGTTGGTCCACATGGACTTGGTGGGGGCCGGTGCCGGTGCAGGGGCACAAGGGGGAGCGGTACTTTCTGACCATAGTGGATGATTGGAGCGGGCTTATGTGGGCATATCCGCTGAAGCAGAAGGACCATGCCGCCTCTACAATACGGGAAGATTGGCTGCCATTCGTGGAGAAGCGAGCAGAGTGTGTGGTGAAGCGGATTAGGACAGATCAGGGTGGTGAGTTCCTTGAAGCTGAGATGACGGCCTGGCTCAAGAAGCAGGGCATCCAGAGGGAGCTGACCATGGCTTACACCCCACAGTCTAACGGTGTAGCAGAACGGGGCGAACCACAGCTAGGGCGCTGCTCATAGAATCTGGGCTGGGCAACTTGATGTGGCCCCATGCTGTTCAGCACGCTACCGTCGCAAGGAACAGGGTACTCACCAAAGTTTGGGATGACTCATGGGTGCTGTTGGAGAGGTGGCTTGGGAGGAAGCCGCCGGTGGACATGCTGAGGGTGTTCGGTTGCATGGCAGTCGCCCACGTCCCCAAGACCTACCGCAGTAAGTTGGGGGCGAGTGCAATCTGGTGTGTGCATTTGGGGCTGGCTGCTGAGAGCAAGGGATGGCTGCTGTGGGAACCTTCCAAGGGTGTGTTGTTTGACAGCAGGGATGTGAAGTTTGTTGAGGGCATGATGTATGGGAGCTGGGAGAAACAGCCGGAGGCCAGGGTGTCCCAGCAGAGGGAGCAGGTCACCATGCAGCAGGACCTGACTCCTAGTGTGTGGGAGGAGGGAGAGGAGGCAGCTGCAGAGGGTGGTGATGGAAAGAAGGTACAGGAAGCACCTGCTGGTGGAGAAAATGATGTGGAGACTAGCACTAGTGGAGCTGCTGGATCCGAGGGGGGAGAGCCGCATCAGGGGAAAACTAAGAAGCCGAAGGGTGTCGTTATGAAGGGATGGGAGACACCCGTCTCCAGGCCAGGAAGTACCCGTATGGCTACTAAGAAGCTGACTGCAGGAGCTGATTTAGCGGAGCAGAAGCTTGGGAATGGGGAGGTGTTGCTGATTCTACCGCATGGCTATGATCCGGATGAGGAAGATGAACCTGCCTACTGTTTTCTTGCCCCTGCACCAGAGGAACCAGCTAGCATGGAGAAGGCATTAGCTGGACAAGATAGGGAGAAGTGGCTGGTTTCCAGGGATGCTGAGTACCAGAGCCTGCTAGAGAATGGGACATGGGAGCTGGTGGTGCTGCCTGAGGGGAAGAAAGCCGTACAGTGCAAGTGGGTGCTAAGGATCAAGACCGATGACAAGGGACAGGTCACCATCTACATGAGTAGGCTGGTGGCTAAAGGGTTTATGCAGAAGGAGAAGCGGGACGTCAATGAGATCTTTGCTCCCACTGCCGAACCCCTTACCCTCCGTGTCTTGTTTGTAGATGCACCCGTTAGTGGGAAATTCATCATTCATCAACGGCATTCCTCAATGGGATTTTGGAGGAGGATGTATAAATGATGCAGCCGCCAGGGTATGAGGATGGTACGGGCAGGGTGTGCAAGCTGAAAAAGTCAATCTACGGCTTGAAGCAGGCGCCACGCTGCTGGTACCAGAAGTTGGCAGCTGTTTTAGAGGAGATGGGATTCAGGACCAGCAGCTGTGATGAGAGCCTCTTTCTCAAGGGGGAGGGGGAGAAGCTGGTGCTGTTTCTGGTCTATGTGGACGACATTCTTCTCTTTAGCAGCAGCATAAAGGATATCCAGAATGTGCAGCAGCAGCTGATGGAGAACTTCAAGTGCAAGAACCTTGGGGAGGTAAAGTACTACCTCAGGATGCACGTGGAGAGGGATCTGGATCACAGGTGGTTGAAGCTGCACCAGGAGAAGTTCATCAAGGAGCTAGGGGAGAAGTACGGGATTGAGAATGAGCACAAAGTTGCAACTCCCCCTGCAGCAGAATTCAAGCTTGTGAAAGCTGCAGAGGATGAAGGGGTTGAAGCCGAGGAGCAGCAGCAATTTCAGTCCTTGGTGGGCAACCTCTAGTATGCAGCAGTTCACACAAGGCCCGACATCTCTTTCTTGGTTGGGCAGCTGGCCAGGGTGGTGCAGAATCCATCAGAGAAGCAGGTGGATGCAGCTGAGCGTGTGGTGAAGTATCTGAACTCTCACCCAAGCATTGGAGTTCAATACTCCGCATCTGCATAGGTGAAGCAGAAAGGGGTTGAGGTGCTGAAAGAGAAGGGGGAGAGGTTTTGAAAAGGCAAGCTCTTTCTCACTTGCTTTACTGATGCT